CACACACACACACACACACACACACACACACACACACACATACACACGTGCACTGCTAGTCACATCGCTCCACACATATAAACGTAAAAAGCTCATTCACTGTAACAGACACAACTCTCTTTGAATAATTTACACGTTTATTCTCCAGGATTCTTTCCATTTAGAGCTCAAATTTGACTGCAGCCAATTCGCTTTTCRGTTATGCACTATTCTCTGACACTTGCTTATAGGCCAGAATTTGATCCATTACCAGATTTCGAACACCTTTCACTTGTTTGTTAGACTGTGCATTAAAAATTGTTTTTTCTTTTTGCTCAAGATGCAAATGAGAGAAAAAAAATGCCGTTTTTTTATCCGTGCAACAAAAAAAGCCAGCACCTTTTTGTTTTCTCCATTTTCTTTATGAAAGAAAACAGCCTCACACATTAAATATGATTTCTGCGCATGCTTTCAAAACAAACGACTGCAGGTTTGACTAAATATCCGCTTTTATTGTGTCTTACTTTGATGTGAAAACGACTTCATCTCTTAGTAATGTTTAGATTCGGCACAAGTGATTTTCTAGCGGGGTTTGTTTGAGTATTTCAGTTTGGGAGGTATATTTGCATTCGTGCAATGTGGTAAATTTTGCATGAGCTTTAGAAAACTCTGGGAGAGATGATCAATGAAACACTGCAGGAACAAATTACCATATGCAAGGCATAACTTATAGCTGCGCTTTTTTAATGCTTAACAGTCCAGCCATTTTTTATTTCACCTAAAGTCATCCTTCTTTTCCCACCAAACTCACTGCAGGATATGAAACGCTTCAAAGCTCAACTTTGCTAATTGGCTATTTAGCCTGTCGATTAATGAATGTTGCCCAACTTTAGTGCTCTCTAACAACATAATTAGCTCTTTCAGAAGGAAGGTTTTGACTTTCAGTCCCCTGTTATTGATGAAGAAATGCTTTTTTTTTCTTTTGGCAGAAACAGGAAAAATCACAGGGAAGCTTTATGGTTAGAAGATACAAATAGAATCATTATATTCTGTGTAAACAAAGTATTTAATGCTTTGCTGTGAGGAAATATTTATTTGATGTTTTATATTTGTTTGACTTTTATTTAACCAAACAGGTCGTGACGAATAAGAATAAGAAACTCTTCTTTACAGCCGAGCAAAAAGCGAAACCTCAGATAAGAAGTTTGAGCATGAATCTAAGAATGTCATTGCTCGACGTAGGCTTCTTTACGACTCATCAGCAGCGGTGTCTGTGTATTGATTTTGACTTAAGCAGTGTCAGGCAGCCAAAGGATCCAGTGTGTGAGAGTGTGATACTGAAGAATTTAGCGAGGCGGATGAGAGGGATGGTTACAGAATACTTGATGAGTTGTGAACGCTGAAGACTGGCTTTTGAAAATGTTGGCAGGAAAAGTCCAGCTTTTTTTTTGTGGCCATCATAAGAACATAGTTAAAAAACACTCAAGTACCAGATTTGGCTGAAAACTCTGTTTATAATTCTGCTTGACTCTGGGATGTTTTTGGTGTGAACTAAAACTGTGAATATTTACTTCAGCAGACATAACGTGGTGTGGTCTGTAGTCAGGCTCTGTTTAAATAAGATCAAGGGAGGACATTTCATTAGTGGGGGGACAGTAAACAAGGACATTTCATAAAAACAATTTATGTGTGTGGGGGGGCAGATAAAACAAAATAACAATGAAATGCTTCATCGGGGAATTGAATTCTGCTGGACTGTGTTACCACCACACTAACAGAGAGAGGATAACTTATTTATTCTGACCTTGCCAATACAAACATTACAGCTGTGTTTGTTAATCAGTTAGCCCTTTTAATTTCTTATAATTCCTGAGCTTTTAGATGACATCATCAGAATGTATTTTGTGTTTTCTGGAACTTCGATTTATTTTCTTATAAACCCATATTCTGTTGTCCCATTTCAAAGGAGACATATCCTGCTTTTAAATCCTTCYTTTCYRTATTTAAATCCTTCARTTGSGGTCTATATAAGGTGGAACTGCAATTCTTGAAGTCGGCATGATGTCATTCAGTCACGTGATTTCAACCTCCATTTTTTAATGGGGGAAAACTCATTGTGAGACTCCGTTGTAAACTGTGTCAAAAGTAGGGACTTCAAACTATACAGCAGTTTTTAAATTGTGTCATTAGATCAAGAGAAGAAAATCACGGTTACGATAAATGGCATATCTTTGGCTAATATTTTTTTTCTGAAAATGAACGTTCTGTTTTGAAGCGCGTTGCAGCTGAAGGGAGCAGGAAACACGGTGATCTCATGGAAAAAACACCGCTGTCCATCGTCAGTCTCATTTTTCTCTTAAACCGAAAAAATATATCCCCCCAGACCTCTTTTTTGACTGAGGCTCAAAGTTATGTGACTAGCAGTAAAAAATCTACAGCAAKARGAAAATAAAAAGAGGCRAAATTTGAATGGAGATTGGCAAGAACGAAGAGCCGGTGAGGGCAGGACTTTATTAATTAGATCTGTGACTTTTAACATGTTTGGATTTGATAGTTAGTGTGTAGTTTTGAGTGTTTAACTCTTCATTTTAGCCAGTTTTAGTRTGTTTTAAATCAAAACAATGAAGCAATTTTTTTTTTAAACAAGGAGAAGCACGGAGGTCTGCAGAGG